GTGCATCAGTTGGTAAATTTTAGGCCAACAGTTTGGTTCTTGACTTTTTTATGAAAACAGGGGAAAAAAACATTCTTTTCATTTTTAATGCTGTTTAAAAAAGAAGCAGTCCTAAGCTTTTTTTTATTTCATAAATGTTTTAGCGCACAGCATGGAAGAATATCTTCCCTCCTTCGCAAATGCGCGGGAAAGAATTACGTGACGTGACATGTTTTGCATGACTGCACTAAAAACTGGATTGCCTGTGGCAATTTGACAGTTGTTTTCGTTTTGCCGTGGCGGCAAGTGAAATTGTAACAGTTATACGTGCAAATTATTCGTCATTCATTTCCTTCTTGAAGTCTTTCCAACGAATCTTCTGGGAAGTTTTAAGGACTCTTAAACTAACACAGTCTCAGGTGGGTACCGTATCGTCGGATCAAAAATTGTTAAAGCGTTGATTCGCAAAAATCGTAAACTGCATAAAATTCAGGAAACGGAACAGATTTAATACTCCTAACTTTTGTTGTAGTTTTTACCACGATGTGGACTTTTTGAAACTTAACACTTTAACTCAGCTCTATTTTAAAAAGACCTATACACATTTCGGACCAATATTGTTTCGAGACGTTAGAGAATAACTGAACGTCTGGCGCCTACCGTAATTGGCATTTGACTATGCCTGGGTCAAGAGGTCACGTTTTCCGCCCGTTTTTTGCGTAACATTTGCACTTACTTCGCGTTCGTTATTTCATTTACCCAAAAATTCTATTTCGCTTATTTGAAGAAAAAAGGATGCTCTTTCAGACTAAACGAGCCTTGGTGGTGAAGCCCATGTACCAAAACGCTTTTTTAGCTCGTGAAAAAGTGCTAAATTTTGACCGCTGATAAAGCGATTTTGAGACAACAATTTTGAAAATTTCTTAAAATATCTAGCTCTTGTTGACCAAATCGCGAACTAATAAGTTAAAATTATTGAGGCAAGACAGTAAATTGTAGAGCCGGAAAGGCAGTAAAAATATGAAGTTTCAAATCTAGCCCACTATATTTTAAAATATACGGGCCACTGAATATGACTCTAGTTTCGCATGATTTTTGCCTTATTCATTCGATCGTACTTAAGCCATGGATTTTGTAACTAAGGCCCACAGGGATTTATTCTGGCTGAGTTTGAGGCCAGGCCATTTTTTGACTATTTCCACGTCTGGTTGATGATTACGCGGGGCCGCTGTTAATACGGACACCCCATTAATACGGAAAATGTTTGTGATCCCTTTAGTGAGTTTCTGTATTTACGGGATTCTACCGAATTTATGTTCCAGGTGTTGTTGAGAGAGGGGATGGCAGATGCTAATGCAACTGATAATGAAAATTCTACTCCACTTCACGCAGCATCGCAAGAGGGAAAATTGAATGTAGTAAGGATTTTGGTAGGTTTGAAAAAGAATTTAAAAGATGCAGCTTTCGAAAACATTATTTGACACCCTAAAGTCCCGGGAGTGTTCTCTGAAATTGTCTATACGACAATAATTATAAATTATGTACCAAGGCCAGTCAAAACGTAGGGGTCCTAATGCGGTTACGTGGTAATGCGAAACTATCAATATATGGGTCATGAATTCTACCCCGTCCAACATTCTGTTGCTTAGTCTGGCACGTTTGTAACATGATCATCTCATCGAAGAAAGCTTGACGGGATACAAATCCTGACCCTATTTTTCAGACCAAAAAGTTTGTAATTTTTCACACTCCTTTTCAGACCAAGCCTCTAAAATCCATACCCATTTTAACACCTGTCCTCAAGCAAATTATGCCATCATTACTTAGATTAGAACACCAACAAAAAAGATTTCTTAAAATTCACTTCGAATTTTGCATATTTCTGTTTCTTTCTTATTCATTTAAAATTAAAACGATAAATACGTTCATACACCCCTGTAGTTCCTCAAAAACTATAACCGATTCCAGACCAAAATGAGCCGAAACGGCGCAAAAACCATGCCCTTTGGGGCGGCACATACCTATATGGCTAATGTAAGGGACTAACCCCACATCTCTAAATTACTCAATGCAAAGAGCACACAGTATAACTAAGGACAATGATTTCGAACCACTAAGTTCGAAACAGTTCGTTATGGTAGACACTATAAACTACTTGGAACCTCTCATCAAATGAGGGGCCTTAAGCAAGCGAGTATAAATTCCTACTTTTTTACACGTTTCTGCGAAGTGGAAAAGCTAGTCACCCGCTTTTGTGCCTTGGTTGTTTGGCTTCTCGAGAGTCTTGCTCGCTTCGAAGGTCTGTTGTCACTGGTGAGGGTGCTCGCCCCAATAATGGTAGCCTGCGAGCCAGCTCTCCTATTTGGGCAAGTGAAGCGAGCCTCGCTTGGGTTAGTCGTTGCTTAGCCGCTTGCTCGCGCGTTCTCGCGAGACTCGTTTCACTCGCCCAAATAAAAGAGCTTGCTCGCAGGCTACAATACTGGTGGCAAGCCTGTCCTAATGCTTTCATCAAATGAGGACTAAGATGTCTTCGGTGTAATGAACAGGTCCTCGTTCTCCGATTCGACGGCCTCCTGGCTGGTAGGGGGAGTAAACATTGGCTGGTGCGTGTCCTCAGTCTTTGGCGTATTACCATCGTCGTTTGAAGCCGTTGGTCTGGACATGCTTTGGTTGCTACCTTCGACGATAACCGGGTTAAGGTGAGTACACATCTCGCACGGAACTCACGTACTTGGGATCTACTAATCCACGTTTCACGCAGATTTCCTTCTTTTTTTCCAAGACCATCTGCAGGCGAAGGGTGCCTTGTTTTTCGTGAAATGCCCTGAGTTTCTCACAGTCAATTTCCAAAAGACTCGTCATGCGTGCACTCATGTCGAGGTCTGTGCCTCTCACTGAACGGATATCGTTCCCGGCATATTGTTCTTTTCTTTTTCTATTTCTAACAGCCACGGATTACAGAATGCTTTAGTTACTTTCTCCTGTTCATGACTCTTTGCCTTTGCATTTCGAGGCGTTCTACCCTATCTTTCAAGGCCTGTTGTTATCTGCAGGCGAGGTCGGTTGGCAGTGGCTCGCCAGGATCCGTAATCAGTCGATCTGCTTGAGATTTGCTGGTCACCCCTAAATTTGCTAGATATCTTCGACGTCCGGCGATTCGACGATCTCGGATGGCTTTGTGCTGTGTTTGAGCTTCTCGCAGGAGCATGCTGAGCTGTCTATGTCGAAACCCACGCGGCACCGCCTTTTCGAGCTCATAGCGAAGCTTGTCTATGTGGTTGTTATCTTCATCTTCATCGGAGCTATCGCTTTCGGTCTCACTCTCCCCTTCATTCGTGAGTGAGATTTGAACGCCTTTCGTGCTGCACTCGGGCGCGTGGTCGTCCATTGGAGAAAAGGACAAAATTTGCCGAATATCTTCACTTTCTAAACCGTCCCCACACTCTCCTAAAGTCCTTTCAGTCTGTGCGGTAGTGGAGTTTGTAGCAACTATCTTTTGAACCCATACGATGCAATCCATTGCATTCTCTCGCAGCCACTGGTTGGCCTCCGGGTTAACTTGCAGCAAGCTTCTAAAGAAGTACTTGTGAAGCCTTCGATTCATCGCGTCATTGTGTACCTCGCCAAAGTCCATCTCCTGTTGACATGTAATGTACACACTTGCAAGGCAGTGGAACCCCTTCGCTTTTTTCCATTTTACATCGTGGGATGTAAAACCGCCTTGACAAATTATCTTCGAGTCATCTACGTCGAGCAGGTTGGTGTAGTACCTCGTCGAGGGAGATAACTTCTGTGGAATTGTCAATCATCGACTTGTTAAAGCTCCTCTGTTTGGTCACGCGAGCGATTCGGCTTAACGGCAAAATCTGAAACACTGGGCTGAACAGCCTCGTTTTGCCGCTGTCAGAAGCTCCGATGGCACGTGACACAGGTCGCTTATGTTCTTTATCTCTGAATGGCGCGAGGAAATCAGCGCAAAACTCCTGTATTTGCTTTTCAGGTAGACTATTGGTTAGAATTTGCTCGAAGTATTTAGGATTGGCCTGTTGGAAGCTGTCATAGTGGACGTACGCTCCTGGTGACCTGATACCTCGCTGCAGAAAACAGAACAAAAAGAACTGTTAAAACATAAAGCATGTAATAAATTGCTAAAAGAAGAAGTAGAAACCTTTACCCGCCGACAAACGAAGAAAAGACAAAGAAAAGAAAATGGTCTGATTGGTCTTAAAGGATCTTGAAAAATGTAGAGTTAAATGAATAACTAGAAGTAGTTCTGGATTAGGTAACTCGAAACTGAATAGCACTTTATTTGGCATATTCTTTGGTTAATTGTGTTGTAAAGTTAAAGAAAAACGACATTTCTATTGAATAAATACATTGTTACTTTAGCCGCCAGATAAATTGTAGAAAAGGAAATTGTGATAACGGAATTAAAATAACCTTTACGGATGAAAACTTATGCTCTCACCTCCGATTCTGGGATCACTCCTTGTACAAAAGCTCCTACAGAGAAAGACCAAAACCATCCATTCTGCAATTCAACCAGGTTTCGATCTATGTTAATTTGGCCAATCAGGGATCTTTCTGGCTCTCTCAGGAAGTGTTAGAACTCGTTGAAAATGTTGGACAAGCCTGTCTTTGAAGCACTCGTTCCCCATAAGATTTAACAGAAATGACTTTATGGAGCAAAAGAACGTGAAAGTAAACTGTGATTCCGCGACTTGTATGTCATTACAGAGAACTGTTAGTTGGCAAGACAGTGGCTTGTGTGGTGTACATGGTATTTCTACGCCCGGAGTGCTGCTTTCGTTTCCGTGGACAAACCAGCGCGCAGCAATTCTCGGACAGATGTAGTCATCATCGGTTTGAATTCTTCCCTAAGCACTTGCACACGATCCACATTTTCTGTTGACAACATTTCTTGAGACTGTTCGTCATCACTAATATCTATTTCGTCTTGAAGGGCGCTATCAATAAAGAATAATAATAATAATAAAAAACAGACAATTTTACTATCTCAGGATAAATGTTTGACTAGCGCATCAAAGTTTGAATTAATGCTTTTTTTCGTGTTGAAAATCCCAGATGGTTTAAATGGCACATAATTAGCCACTTGCACCCTTGCATATTGTTATTTTTCAAAATAACTTATTTGAGTCAAGACAGTTAATTATAGATATTACTTGACTACGAGAAGATGACAACAATAAAGAAGGTTGGACTCATAGGTGTTGATTTCTTTGGTTAACTATAGCCTTTACCGTAACAGTTTTGCATTTAGTATACTAACATGAGACAGTGCTGATAAGAAGCCTCCACAAAATTCATCAGACAAGGATTCTTGTGATCTTTTAAAACTTGGCAGAGTTGATTAAGGAGAATTTTTGTCGTCGATAGAACTCGAGGCCGCATTTCCCAAGAGCACGTTGAATTTTCATCGGATTCACAGCAGAACCATTTTGAGTTTGGCAAGCCACCCAATACGAAATTGCTGGAAAAACTTGCTTCCCAGGCGTTGAAATTTGCGAAGGATTTATGGCAGATTCTTCGTTCGACTCGTCCGTTTCTGGTGCCTCATCCGATGTTCTTGATTTTTTCTTTTTGCTGTCAACCCTTGAGGTGCTTATTGCCGATAAGAAAAAGTAACCCACGATCAGTTTTGGCAATTCCAAAACACATTCATCTCGCTTTTCGCAGATCCAATTCCAGGCTTGTTGAATTTCTTCATCGCTTACTCTCCAAACACACTTAAATGCCACAAAAAAACACGTTTTCTCAATTGCTGCTACTATGTGACACTCCACCTTATCCCTTATAACTTTGCTGTTTAGCTGCGAACAAGGCTTGCTTATCTTGACCGGCCACCGAAGTCGAGTGAAAAGCGATTTTTCAAGGCTTCTTAGCCATTTTATATCTAGCACAATACTTCCGGGAATAGAAATAATAGGCTGGATTAGCTGACTGAAAGTGCGAGCATTAATTAACTTCAATCTGATTAAATTATTCTGTCCAAATATATCCTGGCATAATTGTTTTACACTCAGATTATGAATTGTCTAGCAAGGCACAAAAACCTTTCTTTATTCTAGAACAGAGCAGTAGGTGCTATAATATAAATTACCGAGCTAAAAATCGTGTTGTAATGTTTTGTTGTGATTTGCAATCGATCGTGCACTTCATCAAAACGCGTCCTACTTCAACACGCATAGGTCGCAGGTTGAAGGAAAATTTTCCTGAAACTTTTAAATCTCAGGAGGAAAGAAATAAAAATGTTATTCACCGGGCTAGGTCGGTCTTTATTAGGAGAAACTGTGCCGTCGGTCTGAGTACCGCCCTTGCCTTATGGCCTCGGGAAGTACTCAAGACCTCGGGCACAGTTTCTCCCAATACGGACCTTTCAGCCGGTGAATAACATATATATTTTATTTATTATTATTATTTTCATTTATTTTTAGATTTTTAGACTTTTAGATCCTTGTTGTTGGTATTCAGACCATATCCGTTGTTTACGCTTAAATCGCTTTTCACTATAACATCAGTAAGCAACTTCTTTACCTATCTCTTTAGTATTCAGGCTATTCCCGTGTTTTTCGCTTATCCTGTAATACACTCTAGGATCGAAAAAGTCTTCAGTAACCCATGCTTTCCACTTTTCCGATGTAAACAATGCCACAAATAGAACTATTAGTCTAGTATTAGTATTAGTATTAGTATCAGTATTAGTATTAGTATTAGTATTAGTAGTAGTAGTAGTAGCAGTAGTAGTAGTAGTAGTAGTAGTAGTAGTAGTAGTAGTAGTAGTAGTAGTAGTAGTAGTAGTAGTAGTAGTAGTAGTAGTAGTAGTAGTAGTAGTAGTAGTAGTAGTAGTAGGAGGAGGAGGAGGAGGAGTAGTAGTAGTAGTAGTAGTAGTAGTAGTAGTAGTAGTAGTAGTAGTAGTAGTAGTAGTAGTAGTAGTAGTAGTAGGAGTAGTAGAAGTTGTTGTTGTTGTTGTCGTTGTTGTTGCTGCTTTTAATTTGTAGCAAAATCATTGGAAAATGAGAGAAATTGGTTGTGGATTGGGAATTTCTCTCGTTAGACCAAGTGACTAGCGCGTTTAACGTGAACTATAACTAACTACTAACTACTAACTACTAACGTAACTAACAACTAACTAACGTGTTTGCTTTTCATAGGCTTCTTTTACTTTAAGGACGGAAAGAGAAAAGGGAACTAAAATTTTGGGGAATGATTAGCATCATCATCCTATCATCATCATCATCATCATCATTATCATAATTATTACATAACCATTTTCATCATCCTCCTCATCATCACCATTAGCATCATCATCATCAACGCATCATCATCGTCATCAGCGTTATTACAACTGTTTGGAACTCGAATATTTTGAATAAGAGGTAGAGTACATGCCAGATTCGAGGTGATACTTTTGTTGTTTTATTTCACAATCCTCAAAAACGTTCCCGCGTAAAAGAGGGCTAGAATTTTATTGTGCAAAAATTTACTTCATAGTCGAAACTATATAATGAATGCACTGATTGTGGCACAGTGTCTGTGTTTTGTTTTCTAAAATGAATTTATAACTTCTTGAACTTTCTAAAAATCGAGAACATAAATTCCCAGTAAGCACTGTACCGTCTTGTATACGAATCGCAAAATAAAAATTGTTCCCGCAAAATGCTATCGAAGCAATCGCCCGTCCACAGGAAATGAGTGCCAGTCAGTGTACCAGAGGTGAAAAAGCTGGTATTCAGTGTTTGCATGAATACCCAGTTTTCCACTTTCCACTTCAACTGCATGACTAAATAACCTTCTGAACAAGGCTAGAATTGACACCTGTGATTTGCATATCAGACTTTTCCCTGAACAGCTGTCCAGAAAACTAAATACAGCAGCTTAGTTCAAATGTTGGGAAATGAGAAAAAGCCCCTTTTCTGGTCAGGGAAACGGATATTGAGACGATATTCGGCAATCAATTAGAAACTTTAACAACCCCCCGGGCATTTGACCATCACTTTTGACAGAGGAGAGGGGCATTTGAGGATTGCCTGAGTGGGGTGGGGTATTTGAACCGGAAATGTCAAGTTTAACTTCTGTGGACGATCCGGGTCAACGATAAGTGCGATCTTTCTCGTAGTGAGATGGAGGAGTGTAAAAGTAAAAAAAAAAAAACTTTTTTAGACGAATGGCTTGTTCGGCAAAGACTTAAAAAGCTACATCACTACATGATGCATTTTTGAAGGTATGATGTGAATGATGTATCAAAACGAGGTCGAGTGTTAAATTTTTGCAGTTCAATTTCCGATCAACATCATGTGAAGTCCGGAAAATTCGGCATTTAAGTCTTATTTTTCGAATTCACAATCTGCAAACATTTCGTCTTTGAGAGGGACATTTAACCACGTAATTCTTTTGTTATGGGGAATTTGAATAGGCCTGTATTAAAAAGTTCAAATGCACCGGGGTTGGAAGTTTCGAATTGATCGGCGAATTAATACCTCGACTCTTGAAACAGAGAGAGTGTATGTTATTTTCATGTTGTTATCAAACCGCCACCAATTTCTTGCACTCTGTACAGAATGCAAGAAATTTTATTTGGCCATCCAAAATTGTTGGTTCGTTTGTACAATTTTTATTCACTCGTTGTGAATAAAAATCGTACGCACCCACCAACCATGAAGTAATCTCTATTTCTCCTATTTTTGTTTAAGTTGAATCATGGCGCAGATCCGAGGATGAGTGACAATGATGGATACACAGCAGTACATTTAGCTGCTAAAGAAGGACACGGTGACGTGTTAGAAATCTTATTATCAACAGGTCAGCAAGCCGCTGGGTTGGACTAAACTAGCTTTAAGGGGTTGGCTGGACTTTACGCGAAATTTAGTTGTTTAATCTTGTTGCGCATGCTTATTTTATCAATGATTTAAAAAGTTTATCTCTGTATGAACTTTTATTTTGATATTTAGCCAGAAAAGTTGGTGTTTCATTGGCCACCATTTTGAATAAGATGGATCACGACGCTAATTCGTGTCTTCATTTGGCTGTTCAATATCGCCACATTAAGGTAGGTGCACTGATAAAAAGCTGTACTATACCAGCGCTGGAAAATTATTTGAAGCGCGTGACAAATAATACATCCGCAATGAAAATACACCTAATACTTAAAATAAATAATCCGAAATTCAAAATTTAGAGCAATCTGAAAATCTAGAATAAGAAAAGAATAAAACAAGTTCTGGGATGGTAGTTATGATATTCATACAAATTTTGGGTGTATTGCAATACCAAAAAGATGAAACAATATCTCAGCTCTGTTCAAGAGCCATGATTTTGCGTTGCTAAAAAGTTAAGTATTCTACTTGTTCAATTTCTTATCACATGATCATGATGATATATTTTGTTAGAAGATAATTTAGCGCATATCAATACCAACTGTAATTCCGAAGGTACTTAGGCATTCAACTAAAATCCGTTTAAGAACGTTGCCTCCATTTCTAACATGATCGCCTGCGTTGCTCGCCGTATCCGACGGACGGGTACCTAACTATTAACTTATTTCTGCAGATCATAGCATCAACTAATAGATAATTCACAAATAAGATTAAAAGACAACCACGCGCTTTTCGAAATACTACGCTTTAACTGTTTGAAAATTATAGTTCACTGATAGATTTATGCATCTTTACTTAACAACAACGACAACGAGCCTTATTTACGTTTCGCTTTTAAATAATTATAGTTACTTAAGGTAGTGTTAGTCTAACGGTCAGTTACATACGATATAATATTTGTAAAACTAAAAACACATTACAAGTAAGGAAATGCCTAGCACACATACACACATAAACTGCAGTATAATAGAGTATAATAGCTATGTAAAAAAAATGTTGTATGCGATTATTAACTCTGAAAATTGAAGTCTTTTACATGTTTAAGTTCAATAGGTAAGGTCTGCCACAATTTAACAGCCATAGCCGATGTAGTTCGTTTGCCGTAAAATGTCCTTTATAGCGGAGCTCCACGCGCGGCACTTCGCGCCGCGCGTGGGCGGAGCCCCATAGATAAGGAAATATGGTAATCTACCCATCCGAGAAAATTTGGTAATCACGTGACCGTCCACCGACCGACCGACCGTCCGTCCACACCACAGGCATACCAATGTAAAATAACTCAATCAACAGATATGGCAACCAAAATGCAACTCAAGGTTTTATTTGGAAGGAAATCACATGGCCGCCCGGACTTTTAGAATGAAAAAACAACTATAAAGTCGTGTCTTTTCTGCGTTATTTTTTTATGTTTACACTAACGTGGATAGATTAGACCAGAGCTAAATACTTCACACCCAACTTTCTACGAGGCTATTTTTGCAGAGATCAATATCCATAAGGGGGAAAAATGTCATAGTTGGCACTTTTTATCGACAGCCCGATGAAAATGTAAATGTAGTTTTGGATTCATTGCGAAAATTATTGTCCACTACTACTAGAGAGAATAAGATCTGTTATGTCATAGGCGATTTTAATTTAGATCCTTTACGGCATGAGCAACATGCCATCACAAGAGAATTCGTCGAGCTTATGTTTTCTCACCTACTTTACCCCTTGATCATAAAGCCCTCCCGTGTAATATCTAACACCACCTCTCTTACTGATAATATTTTCACTAACAACGTTACTTGTCTATCTGTCAATGGACTGATTGTAAATGATTTATCTGACCACTTGCCGATTTTTTCAATTAACCGTGGAAACTTTGATTACGACACTTCCACTAAAAGAGAAAGCATTGTTGTCCGTGATTTCAAAGATGACCATGTAAGTTTTTCAAAAATTTGTGTGAAAACAGAAAGGGTTGAGATAGGTCGGAAATTTGCGGGGTCTATAATGTCACCACCTTTATCTACAGGTGTTGCTTTGGAAATCTTGAGAACGTCAGGGACAATACCTTGCTATTGAATGGTTAGATAAATCAGTTATATAGATCGTTTTCAGTCACGTGGTAAGCAGCTTTGCAAATTGCCTGGAATAAAAGAGAGTTTTAACATGTGAAAAAAGTTCTAACCCACAGCATTTGTTTTGTACACAAACATGGCCGCATTGTTTTGCACGGAAATATGGCCGCCGTGACGTCATGTGAAAACGATCTATTGCTTGATATATGTAATCACATGCTAGTTTAACACATTTTATAGGGACTCCTATGGTTGACTTTTGATTTTTCAATCTTTTTATTAGATTATGCACTTCATGGACATGAATAGATCTAGTCATGAAACTATTTGGAAATGAACTTTTAATATACTTCATTGGATTTGGATTGTCATGTTTGGGCAACTGATCAGAAAGATTAGGGCCAACAACATTGATTAAATAAGTATTAAACTGATCCCATATATTTGATTCATCAGTGTAGCATTTATTGTTAAATAAATGTTTATTTATTCTGGGGTTGGTTTTTTTCTTCATATTTATAATCAAACCTATCAATTTCCAAGAAATTTTAATGTTGTCTTTATTTATATAAAACTGAGTTGATAGGTATTTTTTCTTGTATAGTTCTTTGATCTTGTTAAGTTTATTGTTATGATATTTAACGTCTGATTTTTTTTTATTCCGTACGGAGGAAATGCGTCGTAAGTAGTTTTTTTTATAGAGGTAAGTATGCCGTTGGGTATCCAAGGCTTTTTTAGCTGTCTTGTTTTTAGAACTGGAAACTTTTCGAATTGGGGCATGTTTATCGGTTATATCTTGTAATACTTGGATTATATTGTTACAACTGATGTTACCATCCTTAGTGTTAACAAGACTACAGAAGTCAATCTGGGCCAAGTCTGCTTCAAAAAGGTCTCTGTCAAAATGTGAATAGTCCCTGTAATAACTTGCCTGAGCATAAGCTGGAAGTTGGGTTGAAATGGTTCAAAATCTTGGTAAATGATCCGAAATATCGGCTAAACAAATACCAGATTTGATCACCTTTTGGGGGAAGTTTATGTAACTGCGATCAATGAGGGCTGCGCTGTAGTCTGTAATTCTATTAGCCTTAGTGATAATTGGCAAGTACCCAAGATCTAAAAGCATGTGAAGAAATTCAGAAGTTTGTTCATCATTGTTGTAGTTGAAAAAGTTGATATTTATATCACCTATAATGTAAATCTCGTAGCCTTTAATGTTTAGATATTCTAGTTTCTGTCTTAATACTTCGTGAAACTTTTCCCGGTCATTAGAAGAGTGCCTGTAAACACATCCAATAAAGACGTTTTTAAACTTCGCTCTATGTAGTTCTATTAAACAAGTTTCAAGGACCTCTAATATTACATCTAAGTCTGACCTTCTAGTAAATTATAATTTATCTTCTACGTACAACCCAGCTCCTCCAGTTTTGTTTTTGAAACCTTGTTTACAAAATTATATCCTTGTATGGATATATTGTAGGGATTGTTTTCGACTAATTTGGCTTCAGTGACTGCTATAATACTAGGCAATTCCTTTACCGTTAGTAATAGATCATTAAGAAGAGTTAAATTTTAGGCAAGCTACGAATATTACAGTGAAATATTGAGAAACCTTTTGACGAAGCTTTCTGAAAAGAAACACCAGTTTGCTTTGTATTATTAAACCTAGGTTCAATTGTACTCAAATTCAAATAATCTGCTTTGTCAGGACTTTCAATAACACTATTAAATAGATCTCTCTAATCGGTTAATGATCTATAATGCTAATGATAATGGATTTGTATTGCGCTAAAACTATAGAAGAACATTCAAAAGCGCTTTACATTAAGTTAAAATTAATGAATAAATAATAAATAAAAATTTAAAAATCCCTGCAAGCTATAATAATAACAATAATATGTTATGCTATGGTAAAATCTAAAAAAAAATGAAATTCGAAAATTCCAAACTAAATTAAAATTAAACATTAGAACTATTCCAACAAATTAAAAGCTTTGTTAGAAAGAAATGTTTTAATTTGCTTTTTAAAAATGGCGAGGCTACTACTTGTTCTTATAGTTAATGGCAGCGAGTTCCATAAAACTGGTGCAGCATGAGCAAAGGCCCGATCCCCAAGTGTAGAGCAGTTGACTTTAGGAACGAACAGAAGAGATTGTGCAGACGAACAAAGAGCATAATTAGCAGCTGGTTTCAGGGATAAAAGATCTTTAATGTAAGATGGACTTTGGTTGTGTAGTGACTTGTAAACAAAAAGGAGCAATTTGAACTGAACTCTAAACGTTACTGGAAGCCTATGAAAGTCGATAAGAGCGGGTGTGATATAATCAAATTTCGCAATCTGAAAAGTCACTCTAGCAGCAGCATTCTGAACTTTCTGTAAACGATCAAGTTGATATTTAGGTAGACCAAATAGAAGTGCGTTACATTAATCAAGGTGCTAAGATACAAAGGCATGGATCAATGTCTTTGTGGATTGCACGGTAAGGAACTTTCTGATCTGTCTTATGTTGAATGGTCCGCGAAAAGCCTTGCTAAAAATCCTGCCTATGTGAACATTCATTCACATATGAGCACCGAACCAGGACCCAAGGTTCTGGACGCTTTATAAAGGTTTAATGACGGTGTCGTCAATGATAATAGATTCAACAGACGTCTTTTCAAGTTGTTGACGGGTGCCAATAATTAGAAAGTCAGTTTTCGCGTAATTGATCATTAAACGATTTCCAATAAACCAAGAGCGAACATCAGCGATGCACTTTTCAATCACAGAGACAGCGTTAATTGCCGAATGGATAGAACAAGGTCGGAAGGAGAGGTAAATCTGGGTGTCATCAGCATAACCATGGACGGAAGGGAGGAGCTGAGAAATAATGTTAAAGAGGTGGGACACGTATAGAGCAAATAAAATAGGCCCCATACAACTGCCCTGGGGAACTCCACAGTTCAGATTGAAGTCGTCAGAAGTCTTATCACCGACAAGTATACGTTGTTTGCGACCAGACAGAAATGAGTCGAACCAATTTAAAGCAGTTCCGACGACTCCAAAATCCTGTTGCAAAATATTCAGAATGGAATGCTCAATGGTATCAAAAGCAGCACTAAGGTCTAAAAGTACGAGAAGTGTCACTTCCTTATTATCCATACTCATTAAGATGTCGTTTTGAACCTTTAATAGAGCAGTCTCTGTCGAGTGATACTTACGGAAGCCGGACTGGAATTTAGGAAGAGGGGCATTTTTCTCACAGTGGACGAGAAGTTGTTGAAGTTGTTGAAGTGCAGCCTTTTCCACTACCTTGGAAATGAATGGAAGATTCTAGTAGAATAATGAACCCGTGAGCCTGTAACTTTCATGAATTCTCTGCCTGATAAGCCATTAAATGGACTCTTATTTAGATAATTTATTATTTATGGTAAAAGAAGTTTTAGTTGCATATTTTAAACATCCAATCTAAAAAAGAAGAGAAGAGCGCTTAAAGGTCCCTTTTATATGGAGAAAGCTCGTCCCAGGTAGAAGGGTCGCTCACCAATCTGAGCTACCCCGAGTAAGCCAACTTTTCATAAATTTCCTTTCAAAATGTGGCAAACCGTTTACATAAGAAAATGGTAGGGTCCCCTATTCCTAACCGGGCTAAACTTACTCCATTTCAACACGGCGGCTCATCCCGCAGCCGGGTCAACTCGGTCAACGTAAGAAAATTAGAGCATTCGCAAGCGCTGCTGGCTCTGAGAAAGGGATCAACTTCTTCTCATTCAAACGCTCTCTAAATTGAGAGGGTGACTCTCTTTCCCGAGACAACTTTTCTTCCAATAAACGGGCCTTATTTTGTCTAAAATTGCGTGTTTGCCATCATGGTTTTTCTTTAAATTTAATAGTTCTCGCATAAATTCACTTATCCTTCTTATTTAGCGTAATGACGTACCAAAGAGGTGATAATAATAATAATAATAATAATAAGAAGAAGAAGAAGAAGAAGAAGGAGAAGAAGAAGAAGAAGAAGAAGAAGAAGAAGAAAAAGAAAGTTCTTTTTACAGATGGCTTATGTCACATAAAGTGGTTTTCAATAAGGCACTGCATAAAAACTAAAAAACTACAGTACTAAAAATAACAAAATATTGAAATAGATGAACTAAAACATGTCACACTTAGCGAACTTATTAAGATTTAATATGTTTAAGTAATGAAATTTTAAAAGCATTATAAAGTAGACATCTCATGTCTTCTGGAAGGGAATTCCAGTCTGTCAATGCACTATTAAAGGATCTGAGTAGACCCCAGTTCGTGTTTGATCTAATAGATCTAATAGTTTCCTTGGAGCGGGTGTTATGGCTATGATAGTTTGAGCCCCTAGTAATCATACTGTTTCTTTCACTGTCATTAATAAAATTATGCATAAAAAGACACCGTTGCATTAATCTTCTGGTTGATAGATTCATCTAGTTCAGGTCTAGAAGTGCTTGAGTTGAAGTAGAATGCGTCGCTCGATCCAGAACTAACTTGGCTGCTTTATTCTGAAGAACTTGGATAGAATCCATTAAAACTTTGTTATTTTTGTCACCCCATACGATACTTGCATATTAAAGAATAGGAATGACCATTGTTGACGCATAGATCCTTCTTGCATTATCTGGGAGAAGATGCTTGATTAGTTTTAAGACACCTAGTCTCTTTGCTATTTTACTTTGTAGTTGTTCAATGTGGTCATGCCAAGTAAGATGCTGGTTTATGATCACTCCAAGATACTTGAATTTGGTAACGTTCTCCAATTGATCACTGTTGGCTACAAGAGCTATGTCATTAAATTGACTTAGTTTGTTACGTCCTCCAATGACCATAAACTTCGATTTAGTAACGTTTAGTGTCAGCTTATTGTCATGCAACCAAGATGTAATAGCTGCCAAGTCTGCATTAAGCTTCGATTGCAAATTGGTTGGCGAGTTCTCATGACAATAAAATGCCATGTCATTAGCAAACATCGTCATCTTTGAGTGCTGCAGTTCAGATTGAATACCATTAATATACACCAAGAATAACAATGGTCCCAAAATGCCCTCCTGTGGTACTCCCAAGGCGATTTTTGCTGGGGGAGACAATGCATTAACACATATCGTTTGTTGAAATCGACCAGAGAGATATGAGCGGAACCATTCCAAGGTCTTCCCTGCTACTCCTGGTGACTTGAGTTTGCTGATGAGGAGCAGATGATCAACAGTGTCAAACGCCTTGCGAAGGTCCAGGAACGCTGTTCTCGTCACGCATCCTTTGTCCATACTTTCTAGGTCTTGATCTGTAAAGGAGATTAAGGCAGTGGAAGTTGAACGCTTTAGTCGGAAGCCAAACTGTGATTGTGATAATAATCTGTTATCTTCCAAAAGGGAACTTAACTGAATATGTGCTGATCTCTCTATGATCTTGCTTATAGTTGGTAAGATTGATATCGATTGATATCGGTCGATAATTATCCTTTATGAGGGCCCCACTGAAAACCGCCTTGGCGAGTTAGGCTCCCTCTATAAATATTATTATTATTATTATTATTATTATTATTATTATTATTATTATTATTATTATTATTATTATTACTATTATTAATGACTTACCTCCATCTTTAAATAATGCAGTGACTTTTGTACACTTCCAGACCACTGGAAATGTATGGATATGATATATGGAGAAACGCCAAGCGGCAGGTGAAATAACCTCCACTTTTTGAACAGCACTCCTTACGGGAGACACATGGCGTTAATCATGGCGGCCTGATAGGTCTTTAATAGTTCCGCCATTACTGGCAAAAGATTTTTGCCTATGTAGACATCAGCACTTATGTTTTGCTCTTGATGTCTACATATTAAATTGTAACAATACAAAACTAGTATCTAACTCGGGAACCTAACGGTTTAGTTAGATGCTAGGCATTTTCTTACCTGAAACGTATTTTTAGTTTTACTAATATGATATTGCTTCTTCGCATGTAACTGACCGTTAGACTAAAAATACCTTACGTAGCTATATTTATTCTAAAGGGAAATGTAAATAAAGTTTGTTATTGTTTGAGAAAGAAATAACAACTTGTTTGGTCTGTCAGAGGATTCATGCTGAAGGAAAGACACTTTTGATTTTGCCAAACGTGAACAGTTTCATTTTAGTACTGATATATAAGTTTTGCCGTTAGTTTTGTCAGGAATTATATGTTGAAGATGACATTGCAATTGTGAGACGTGCCGGTAGAAAGAAAGGTTTTCGGAATATAGTCAAATCTAGGGATAAATTTGTCGTTTAATTACAAAAATTAACTGAAGGCACTCTTACTGCTACTAATTTCCCCCAAAAAAAAATTTAGGAAAGGTTACAGAAGACACACTCATCAGTGCTATTTTATTTTCAACTAGAATAGTTTTGTATCCGGATGGACCCAAGTTTAGGCCCCGTTTATGTGGACTAAAGCTGTCCCGTGTAGAAGGGTCATCCGCCTATCCCAGCTACCCTAGGCGAGCCAACGTTTTGTACATTTTCCTGGAAAACGTGACGAATCGTTTATATAAGAAACAACAAGTTGGCGTGGCTATAAGCTATTTGTGATGGTAGGGTCACCAGATTCAGGTTCAGGTTCATTTATTTCACACTATTTACAGAGGATAACATAGAAAGAACATATAGTTACAATAGATGATAACAAAATAAAATGATGTGTGTAGTGGTCAAAGTAGCGAAAGCCTTCTAGTTGACAACACCTACTTTAATTAAAACGAAGAAATGACACTAAGCTTTACATATAGTAGAGAATGTTTGTAGAGCCTAGGACTAATGTACAGGACAAAATTACATGTATATAAAGGTACGTTATAGATATACTGAACCAAAAGAGAAATCACGACAAAACAAACTAGCAAAAAAAGAAAGAAAAGAAAACAACAATAACATCACAGCAGCGACAGCAGCGACAGCAAAGACAAAATTAATAAAAGCAGACAATTAACAATTATTGGACGATGTTGAGCAAAATATCTTGATTTGTCTTTGGCTCTGCGGGACACTGACAAATCACGATATTTTGCGATAACCGAGTTCAATAATTGTTTTATTATTCGATCACCGAGTTTGTTTTTTTAATGAATATCCTTGGGAAGCGAAGCGATCTGCCATTTTCACGCAAGAGCGATCGCAAGAAGGAGAAAAGCACGGTTTCCTTTACGCATGAGCAGAATATTATTTGCAGCCAAACACTGTTGGACGGCATTGAGCATGAGCAGACCATTATTTGTAGTTAGTTATTTGCCGGTCACGTGGTGGGCTCTCGGCCAATGAAAAGAAAGAAAAATGTGCTTCGTGTGAATATAATAATTATTTTTAACACTGTTGTTAACATTAGAAAGTTAGTTATACATTTGATTATTAAACAGGACCAATGTTATTTGATTGGCAAGAGATCAAGTGGGCTTTATAAAGTTTCTTAATCTTGTTAAACTTTTTGGCTTGTCAGTGACAAGGGGACAGTTTCGCCAGTTTCCCACATGACATAAGCAGAGTACTTGAAATTAAATTTACCTATGTTAGTTATAACTTTTGGTCGGTAGAAATTAAACTTAGCGGAATTTCTGGTGTTATAAGAGTGGACAGTTGGTTGTAGGTGTTAAGAAGTTATGTAAGACTGCTGGAACAGTTGATTGATTACTGTATAATTTAAATGCCAATTTCAAGGATTTGGTAGTATGGGAGAGAGGGCTCTTGTTTGTTTGCAAAAGAAAAGATACGCGAATACATTTATTTTGCTTAGTACGAATCTTATTTAAATTAGTCTGATAAGTGTTGCCTCAACACATTGCTCCGAAATTAAGATAGGGGTTAATAAGTGCATAATAAAGTTGCCTTATCATCTTTAAATTCAGGTAATTCCGTAGTCGGTAGAGGATCCCAAGGTTTTTAGTCAGTTTGCCTTGTACTTGTGCTATCTGAGTTTTCCAGTTTAAATGCTCATCTAAATAAATGCCTAAAGTTTTTAGCCTCCCACGCAGACGTTCTTAGGAGTTCGTCACGCGTTCCTGCCCCACGAACGTCTCCTGAACTGAAAGACAAATTCCTTTCCCATTGTTCGCAAATATCAGCCGGAGATCACACGCAGATTATCGGAGATCCAATCTGCGCTGTTGAAGTTCAAGTGTTGACAAGCCAAACACATACGTGCAAGCTCGGTAGAGTGTGATACGTGACCTAAGATTTTTGTTCCAGACGAGAATCTAGGAGATAAGCGATGGGTTGTTGTATATCTGTAAAGGCTGGATTAGATGTCGTTTGCTAATAAAGTTGTTCTTTGGGTGATGGAATGGCGGGGTTACCTTGTAAGACTGAACAAACGGCAGAATTTTTTTTCACACGTTATTGTTTTGTAGTAACGCCGACTTTCGTTCAGCAAATTTAACCTCTGAGGTAATTTTTTTCAATGAGATTGTGGGGATAGCCACTAGTAAGAACGCTTGTGAGTTAACTGAGTAGTTTTTTCTAAAACTGTAAGGTCTTCACCTTTCATGACACCTTTCTGATCTTTTCTGGAGCTATACAGTCAAGCGCGAAATTTCTCAGGGTCCAAAGAGCACTTCCCAGATCTGAAAGTCTGCTGTGATTGGTCTACGTTTTTTTCCGCTCAAGTCAGCAGACGTTCGTGGGGCAGGAACGCGTGACGAAGCCCTTAGAACGTCTGCGTGGGAGGTTAGGCCTACTGGGGAAACCTTCGACAACGCCCGATTCAGACTTTGCGTCAGTTCTCACCTCTACTGATTGTTCGAATTCAGAGGTTGGGCTTCCAATAGAAAATTCCGTCGGTGAATTCTCCATGGTACCAAACATTGGAGTGCTCTCAGTAATATGACTGATGGTTGGTAATCACGATTTTGACTTGCAATTTTATTTCGACTCCACAAGGTTTAGATATTGCAAAGGATACGCTAATCACTTTCTGTTTCACGCGTGTATCTTGTGATATTCAAATGCGTCAGCTCATAAATGATATCAAATGCTCAAGTGCATTAGCTGACTGTGTACCTTTAAGCCGTAATGCACGCAAAGTAACAGTGATTAATATCAGGATATTACTTAAAGCCACTTCCTACTTTTCAACGGCACACAACGAGAATATAGTTCAAAACCACATGAACATAGTTTTGTTAAACGTATTTTAGTATTTAAACGGTAGATATAGGCATATTTTTATCCCCTAAAAATTTTTCATCTGTTCGGATTTCCTAGCTGAAAGTCTAGTGATCCGAAAATTATAGGGATCAAAACTTACCTTTTCGAAAATTTCAGCCAAAAAAAAGGCTCCCGAAAATTCTAGGTGACCTTTTTAGGGTAAAAATCCGTTAAAAATGGGCAATTATACCATTTTTTAGATGTTCGAAAATCCTAGGAGAGGCAGGCAAGCAAGAAACTTTACGACATATGTTCCGAAAATTCTAGATCTCAAATCGTCCTCCGAACAGATATTTTCCGAAAATTAACGTTGTGTGCCCCTAACTTTTCTCCATCACTTCGTTATGTTTGGATTTTCACTTTTCAGTAGTGGACTACTGAGTTTATCATTGTCTGACTGACGATTACGACAATACCCCACGATCCTTTGTCGTTATCTTATCACAAATATTTTAGGGCTGTCATTAAGAGGCGGGGGTTGGGGATTTCCCTCGGCTACTATGAACATGGGCCCCCGCTACTTTTAAAGGAAAATAGAAGTAAAATAGAACCGAAAGAAACCTCTAGCTGTTTGACAACCCTGAATAAAGGAACTAGTGATAAAGATATTAGAAATGATTTTACGATTTTATACGTAGGTGATCCCTTTCTTGGTCCTCTACGCGAAGAACGAGGTGGCTGCCAAAATCGTCCTAGTTTATATGCAGATGTTGTGGGTAATCACCGGGACGACTCCCATATAAAAGTGAAGGGGATGCTCGTCGGAAAATTAAACCCCTGAGGGAGGCCAATGTGGGTGTGGAGAATTCTGTGAGGTCAGCGTCACGGCCTTTTTTTTTGCAGATTTCTCTATGTACAGCCCTAAGCGATACCTGAATGAGCATATTTAGTCACTTTTCGTCTCAAACAACCTAAGTGAGACCAAAATCTGGAAACGACGAGCACACTCGTCACTTTTGTATGGGTGTCCTCCTGCGGAAGCAAATCACCATCTGTTCCACTTAATTTTTGGTAAGGTCAATGATTACCGTCTGTTGAGAGTATTGGCTCTGTTTCACTCATTTCAGACTTCGATGGATGACAGGTTTCATTGTGAGAAGTAATGGTGTCCTGACTTTCGTGTACTTTTTATCAGTTGGGAGAAACCGCCTGAACTTCCACACTTCATTTTCTTACTTTCACTGAAGTTGCACGATTCGAAATTAATGTTGAAATTTTATTATTTGAGTGTGCCAACTTCTTTATCAAGCGGCTGTGATACAAATGTAGCGTTGGACTCCGGACTTTCCCTAGGAGCATGAAACCTAAAGCTGACGTCTCCCGATTGGAAGAAACAGTCAGCAAAAGTAAGAAACCTTCTAACTGAAAATTCTTTAATAAAGGTCTTCAAATTTTTTCGAAAATGTGGGCTCCTGATCAGAGGAAGGTAAATAAAGGAAAATAGCAACTTGTCGTTCGCAGTCCAGTAATACCGCCCCATGTTAAGGAAAACAAGACAGTCTTGGATTCTGAATCCCATTCGGTGGATTGTGGATTCCTGGTGCATTCCAGTCTTTTTCACTGGAACTTGGATTCTGGATTCCATTCCTTAGTGGGATTTCGGAGTACTTAAGCTCTGTTCTGGATTCCAAAGCCCTGGATTCCGGATTCTACGAGCAAAATGTTCTGGGATTTTGGATTATACAAGCAAGAATTTCCCATAGAATCCGGATACCCACCCTTACATGGTGTGAAGTACTTGTCAAACATTTTCGGACCTGTTCACGCATATTTAATCAAGCAGTGGGAAAATTACTTTTCCTCTAACGTTCGATTTTAAAATAATAATAATAACAATAATAATATCGATTCTTATTAAGCGCATTTCTATCCTCAATGCGCTTTACATTATGAAAGCCGATTGAAGATCATTACATTTCTAGCCTATTGTGACAGTATACATCAAGTATTGTAAAACTTTAAAAATCCTAATTGTAAAACTTTAAAACTCCTAAGACGTTAAGCATGAAAATCAATTGTAACATTATACATCAAGTATTGTAAAACTTAAAAAAAAAATCCTAAAATGTTATCATGTTTGTGAAAACTTAAAACCAACTTGTAAAACTTAAAATCCTAAAATGTAAGGCATGAAAATCAATAATCAAGTATTGTAGAACTTTTTAAAAAAAACCTAAAATGCTAAGCTTGAGAATCAATTGAAACATTTCCTGAATAGAAATGTTTAAAGTTTTGTTTTAAATGTTTTGACACTGTCCGCCTTTTTGATATATTCTTGGGTAGTGTTCCATAACTGAGGTGCTGCAGTGGAAAACGCGCGTCCTCCATATGTTTTGGATTTTATGTCTGGGGTGCATAATAGCGAACAGGATGACGATCGTAGAGCTCTTGATGGATGATAATCCTTAATCAGAGGTTCCAGATATCCAGCAGATTGTCCATTTAAGATCTTATATGTGATAAGAAGAATCTTAAAATGAATCCTTGCTTCCACAGGCAGCCAGTGCAGGCTCTTTAATATAGGTGTTATGTGGTCAGAACTGCGGGCTCCTGTTATCATTCGAGCTGCGGTATTCTGAATTCTTTGTAACTTATCTCTCTGGTATTTTGGGATGTCATATAAGAGACTATTGCAATAGTCGAGTCTGGAAATCACAAGGGAATTCACCAACATTTTCAATCCATCAGAAGGAAGGTACTTTCGAATACGACCAATTGATCTTATGGCATAACTGGCTTTCTTGCACATTTCGTTGATATGTTCTGTGAAAGACAAGGTTTTATCCATGATGACACCCAAATTCTTGGCTTTTGTTTTCACTTCTACTGAGGTGTTAGCTAATGATAATGTTTCGTAAACTGTAGGTTGCTTGCTGAAACGCGACGTGAAATGTAATATTTCAGTTTTTCCAGGGTTGCACTTTAACATATTCTTAAAATGTGATGGATCGGAGTAACTCCTGGTCAATGCAGCTTTTTCATACTGGACCACATTTGAAACTAGAAGAGGTTTGGTTCTGAAACGATATTTTCCGTCTTCACATAACAGACTTTAAAAGGATGTTCGGGGCAGTGGGAAATTAAATGAAGCTTGGAAGGTATCTTTTACTTGCTGAATTAATTTTTGAACAATATATATCATTGGCAAAGGGGAAAAGGGGAATTTTAATATAGTTTTGGTGGGAAATATAGCATATCTTACTTAAAACTGGAAAGTATTTGAATAACTGAGGACTTCGCTGTGACAGCAGCCGATACTGTCGCCCAACGCAAATTGAACATTTGACTAAATTTGAGTTGAAACATTCAATTCTGAATCGCGATGTGCCGCAAGCTTTATTGCATAACTTGACAAAATAGCTATTAATATTTAACTAAAACGTGTTTTTAGGTCTGACTTAGGTGCCACATTGGAGAATTTTCCGATGATTTGAGTCATTTATTCGTGCATTTTGCTTTCTTAATTGAATTAGTGAAATGAAGACGACCAGTTTGTGCTGATTACAGAGAGGTAGTAGTATTTATGGCAAAAATATAAGGCAAAAGTTTCGTCGAGTCCGAAATCGAGTGGAACGCTTTTAGGGAGACTGCCTCTTAAAACGTTCTGTCATTCATACATGTGGTACCGACAAAAGCAAAGGGTTAGGGTTACCGTACCATAACAGTACCATAACAGTGCCGAGAACACCTTCCAGCTGAAATCTGATTGGATAAAATGGCGAAAGGTATGTGGTTCGATTCTCAGCTGTCGTTTGTGGGCAGGAGTGTTACGTGACGACACAAAGAACAAGGGCTTTACGGCTGTGAAGCAGACGAAGGGCGTGCTCGAGTGCTATTGGCTTGGGTAAGGGGGACCACTTTTTTTTCAGTCAGCTGATGCACATGCGCATTAGATACCATTTCTTAGCTGATTTGCATATCACAAGACACGCGCGTGAAACAGAAAGTGAGGAGCGCATCCAGAATAATCGAAACAAACCTTTTAGAGTTGAACTTGTTACAAGCCGAAATCGTGATTATAGACCCTATGCCATGTCAGAGAGACTGGGCCGAGCGACGAGTGAGGTCGGTCATGTCAGAGTGAGCTCCGTGGAGCGAGACGCTTCTTTTTTTCTTTAAAGTACCATTTGAAAAGAAACTTAGCAGCAATGGGAAGAACTAGATGAAGAAATGGGCTAAGCAGTTCTTCAAGTAGCGAGAATTCACCGAGGCATGAAGCAAAACAGAATCCTGCAGATGCTGACGTGGCTGCAATGGGGTGCTCTGCGGACAAGCAAGACGACACTAATCCTTCCCTTCTTGGCGTGTGGAACGCGTAAGGACATAAAAGATCTTCAAAATAATTATAATGAACTGAAAAAATCACTCGAATTTTCTCAGGCCAAGATAGACGAACTAACAAAGAGCAATTCCGACCTGCAAGCGAAGGTTAAAGGCTTGGAGAAGAAGAACACGGACATGAAAAAAGAATTAGGAAGTAATGCCGTCAAAGCTTCAAAGCAAACGGAAACCTCATGCTCAAAACTAATAGAAGAAATGGCTTCCAATCTGCAAAAAGAAGATGAGCAAATTATGCTTCTCGAAACAAAACTTAATGATCTTGAGCAGTACACCAGAAAATTTAATCATGAAATTTGTGGAATCCCTGAGGACGACTAGACTAGGACTTGGAGGATACCATCATTAAACTATAGGAACGCCTAAATGTAGACTTGAGAGTCAAAGACATCGACATTGTACACCGATTCAAAAAAGGTAATATGGCGCCAAAACCCAAAATTGTCCGTTTTTCTAATTATTTTAGTAAAGACGAAATGTACCGAAGCAGATGAAAACTACGCAATGCAAATGTAAGCTCCGTATTTTGCACTGAAAAAATTTATATCAATGAGAATTTAACCGCTCGCATGGCTGGTTGATTTTAAAAGGTCCGCGACCAAAAGCGCTTCCATCAGGAACGGAAAATATGGACAGTCGATGGTAACATTTTCATCAAACCTAGCCCCTCATCTAGAACCTCCAAAATAAACTCATTAGAAGATCTCAATTCGTTATACTGATTAAAGTTCATTTCTATTTCTTTATAGCCTTTTCATAATTTCATACAAAGTCATAATATTGTCATTCCATATACTGCAGTTCAGCAATTTTTTCTTTATAGACCTTTAAACCTCTCGCAAATTAGTTTGAATGGTTGATCCCAGAAGAAGTAAGTTTTTAGTCGTATTTTGTTTTTTGTTGCATGAGTGCGTTTTGTTGCTTTTTTTTCTGTCTCAAAGTCTCTTTAGTTGTGTTTCTTTTCTCTCGTTCACTTTATCTTCGAATGTATTTAACGCGGTTAATTTAAGTTCATTATCTTTGCCTGTTTATAACCACCAAAGCCACAGCATATTTATGAATTTCTTGTCACCTCCGTGGAATAATATGTCGCATAAATTAAAAATCCTTTCTTTGGACGTTAGGGGATTACGCAATACACACAAAAGAGGAGCGATTTTTTCCCACTTAAAAAAACAAAAAGCCACAATTTTAAAATTTGCAGCAATGTTTTTCAAAGCCTGAAGGCGAAAAGATTTGGACAGCAGAATGGGGAGGAAAAGTTTTTTCTCCCATGGCACGGATCATTCGAAGGGAGTCACAATGCTGATCAATCCAGTATCGAAGTTTCAAGTATCCAGTGTAAATAGATCCCTACGGGAGGTACTTAGTCACTAAACTCCAAGTAGAGCATACAATCTTTTATGTGATTAATGTATATGCACCAAATGATTACCGCGAAGAGGAACGATTTATCAGAATCTTAGGTGAAAAACTTGTCTCCGAAACTGACACCACAAAATTAATCATTTCAGGTGACTAACGCCACCCTAAACAAAATTGATAAATGGGGAGGATTGCCGTCGAAAGAAACCACATATAGAAACTCCATTATTGACCTGATGGAAGAACTGGATTTACTGGATAGTTATAGGCAATTCCATGTAGACACCAAATCATTTACGTACGAAACTAAAAATTCAAAGTTGAATTTGACTTTTTCCTCATATCTTGCCCTATCTCATATAATGTTAAAAGAACCGAGGTGCAGTCTTCCATAGCACCAGACCACAAAGCAATTCTTTTAGGTATGGAGTTACAAAGTGAGCTTAAAAGAGGGCCTAGGACCTGGAAATTCAATAATACTTTATTGGAAGATGAAGACTATATAGATTTAATAAGTCTTATTTACCCTTGGACACTAGAAAAATACAAAGATGTAGAAAGCAAGAAACTTCTTTGGGAATTGATAAAGATGGAACTTCGAGCCAAGACCATGAACTATTCTAAGAAAATAAAAGCGGAGGTTAAAAAACGTGAGATTGTCCTCCAACACAATTTAGATGAACTGGACTATAAAATTTGCAATGAAACCGATTTAAAACCTCATATCCTAGATCAATATGAGGCAGAGAAAAACGAATTGAATTCTTTGTACGAATGAAAAGGTAAAGAGACAATTTTTAGATCCAACGTTAAGTAGATAGAACAAGGCGAAAAACCAGTAAAGTATTTTTTTTAATCTAGAAAAGAAAAACTATGTAGCGAAAACCTTGATTCAAATTAAGTTAGATAATGGTAAAATCACTTCGGATATGAAAAAGATAAATAAACAAATAGAGGTGTTTTTGAGCGAAACATACAAATCCAAGCTTACTGATGTCCCGCTGTCTGAACAGGAATTAGGCCTCAATGACTTTATTCAAAACTTGGAAATTCCACGTCTGTCTAACGAGGAACAAGCGACGTTTGAACATGACTTAACTGTACAAGAAATTAAAAATGTGTTACATTCTTTTGAGAAAACTATAACTCCTGGTGAAGACGGTTTCACCAAAGAGTTCTGCGAAACTTTCTTTGACCTTTTAAAACAGAATCTACTTGATTGGTATAATGAAGCTTTTCAGAAAGGCGGTCTCTCAGTATCCCAGAGAAGAGGAGTAATTTCTTTAATCCCAAAAAATGACAGCGACCTTTCAGAGCTTACTGGATAGCGCCCAATAACGTTGCTTAATGTTGATTACAAAATCCTGGCAAAGTGTATTGCAAAACGTATGGAACCTTTCCTTCCCAAACTAATCCATTCGGACCAAACAGGATTTATTGGTCAAAATTTAAGACTTTTGAATGATCTTATGGAATACACGGATGTGAAGAAGATCTCAGGAATTTTTCTTTTTATAGACTTTGAAAAAGCATTCGATTCCATAGAGTGGAACAAGATGGTTCTCAATTCTTTACAGTAATTCCGAGGCAGCAGTAATGAACGCTGGTTACATGACAGGCTACCTCACTGTCTCAAGAGGAGTTCATCAAGGGTACCCGCTGATTCCATTCCTCTTTATATTGTCCGCTAAGTTACTTGCATTGAAAATACGACAAGAGCCAAATTGGAAAGGAATAAGTCTTCCCAACCTTCAAGGGGCTAAAATCTTACAATTTGCCGATGACACTACTCTCATATCTAAAGACATCAATTCTCTTAAACTCTCGTTACAGATCATCGAAGTTTAGACAGCATATCTGGCTTACGTCTAAATAAGAAAAAAACCAAAGCAATGTGGATTGGCTCCTAAAATGCATAAAAAAAACAACAAAATATTGGAATTTCACAGCATAAAAGACCCCATTAAAATACTCGGGACGCACTTGTCGTATAACGCAGACAAGAACAACGATGCCAGCTTCTTCAGCAAGATTGGTAAAATGAAAACTAAACTGAACCTCTGGCAAACGCGTGACCTTAAGCTTTTTGGCAAATCCGTTCTAGCCAAAACGCTTGGTGCCTCTCAGTTAATCTACACTGCTTTACTTATGACTGTCCCTGATACAGTAACACGCCCGGCTAAAAGTCTCCTGTTCTCGTTTTTGTAGAAAAGTAAGAAAGATAAAATTAAACGAAATGTTGCATGCCAGCCACTTGACAATGGTGGCCTTAATTTTATAAATTTTGAATTTATGGTAAAATCTTTGCGACTAGCCTGGATAGCTAGCCTGATTAGCAACTCTGACGATAATTGGAAGGCAATACTGAATTTCTATTACGACGAATATGGAGGCCTGCCCTTTCTTCTTCAGTGTAGCTACAATACTGCTATTCTGGACAACAATCTACCTTTATTCTATCGTGAGTTATTACATTATTTCCAAGAACTAACGAAATTCTCAGAACACGATAAAAACAATGACCTCGTTCTTTGGAATGATAGAAGAATTACGATAGAAAGGAATAGTGTCTTCTGGAAACGATGGTTATCAGGGTGTTACTTTCTTTAGTGATTTAATGAAGTCAAATGGTAAATTTCTAACCTTCGAAGAATTTCAAAATAAATTTGATATTAAAACTAACTATTTGCACTATTTTCAATTAATTGCTGCCATTCCTCAGGATTTGAAACGAAAGGCATTTGGTTCCACGGTTCCTGATCTGCTCTATCTGCTCAAAGCAACTACAGAGTACTGCCAGATGGAAGATAGAACTATAGTCTTAAACAAATTCCCCTGTAAAAATTATTACAGTCTGTTCATCGAGAAACTTGTTTCAGAACCCTCCGCAGTAAGGGCTGGGAAAAAAATCTTTTCAGAACTTCCTGATTGGGGTGATTGTTTTGTGAATATATACAAGTCCTCGAAAGATAATAAGCGTAGACAATTTACTTTTAAGGTTGTGCACAGAATAATTACGACAAAGAAAGAACTACTGAAATATAAATTACCCTGTGATGACAAATGTCCTTTCTGCCTTAATATAGTTTAATGAGTATCACAAAGAGAACGTACAACTTTCAAACAAGCAAATTTTATTTAACACGTTCGATGACTACCTTCCAATGCAAATGCCAAATTCAACTCAAAGCAATCGTCGTCTATTGGTTTTACTGCAAAAGAAATACTTGTATACTTGCAAGAACACTGTAACGAAACCTAATTTAGATGAATTTTTACTTAAGCGTTTTGAACAATATCGCATTGAAAATTTGGCAAACAATATTAAATATGTGTGGCAACTGACTGGTTTTTTATCCTTCAATAGTTTTTATTCTTATTGTAATTTGTTTTGTTACTTACTGACTTGCTTATTTATTTATTCTTTTACTTTGTGCTGTGTATTAATGTTGTTAATTTGTTGTCAATAAAAAAAAATGTATCAGAGCACTCTTTTTTTATATACCATTTATACTGAGAATTTACCGATGGATTTGTCCAGGGAAAGCCAAACATCGACGAATACTTCTGAATTCGACCATCAGCAGAGGTGAGAAATGACACGGAGTCTGCATGCTCAAGAAGAGGTTTTTGTTAAAGATCGAGGATCGAATGAAACACTAGGCAAGATCGAAGCGGATTTCTAGATGTATCCGACGCGTACATATGATTTCGGGTTGAGGTAAAGGCTTTCCAAACTGGCAAAAGTAGTGTCCATGTCAGCGCGGTCTCATAGCTGACTGTGTCCCTTTAAGTTGACTCGGCTGAGTGGGTGACCCTTCTACCCGGGAAAGGTTTTTTCCATATGAACGGGACATCTTCCCGGCTACATAATCGTTGGTAGGATTTATTAATTTTAATCTGTACGTTTAAGAATTTATCGTCAGGCTTCTGATCCTTGCCTAGATCACATAATGACATAAAATCTGACAGTGTCACGTTACAAGAGAGGTTTGAACCTATCCCTTACCTACGGATACGATATAGGGTACAAAAATACACATTTAGCCGCCGACATAGAAGTGTGTGCGTTACTGAAATTCATACTTTGCAAAATAACTTTTCTTGTCAGTGTGCCGAGGTTTGCATTAAATATGGTGCGGATACATGCGTTTTACAGGTAGGCTTTCTCATTGTATGAAGTTCGCTATCTGAATATGCTACTGACCTTTTCCGCGTATTATAGCACTTCCCTGTCATATATGACTACCTTCGCTTGCATGAAAACGTAAGCAGAGAATGTAACTGAATCAATAAAACAAATTCGTACGCCTTAGGCCGGACGCTTAATGTTTTCGAACGTTTGGCCATGTTTTTTGCTACGCGCCTGACACCACTTGTTGAATGATTTTCCTTGCATACTACACTGGTCCTGTTTTCCGCGTCCTCGCCTAATCTTAGGCCTTTGCATTCTTCTTTCTCTGGATCCCTTGTACCCCCTTTGTCCCTCTCGTGACAGTATTTATATATTTTTAAGTTATTATGGAAGCCCCCTTGGATAAATGTTACACGTTCTTATTCATTCTATAGGAAGATTTGTTTTCTCCTCTGCATGTTGCTTGCATCAACAGTCACTATGAAATGGCAAAACTTCTGCTCTCAAACGGAGCATGCATTGATGCTGAAGATGCAGATGGAATGACGCCCATCTTAAGGTAGTATCAGTCGACTACAGGCATGTGATGGGAAAGAGGGGAGAGAGCTTCCCTGTCCTACCCTCTACTCCTGGTCGTAGCTCACTTCTCTTCCCAAAATTTCTCAAATCATAACAATCGATTAAAACAATTTTCCTCCACTTTCAACCGTTTTCCACTAGCTAGGTACCCTTCGTCTAATCACTCCTTATTCACCATTTGCATATCTCCCATAATACACCTTATCTGCCCCTTCCCAACAATTTTGCATAATTTTAATTTCCCCTGGTTATTAACAGTCTTCCCAGAGAATTTTAAGCCAAATTTTTTGGGGACAAACAAACAAACAAACAAAGTGTGTATGAAAAAAATATCATTGTATTTAAATACAGAATACCTCATGAAAAGTGTGCGCGTACGGTATTTACGCACGAGCTGTTGACGATAGACGTAACAGATATAAAAACAAGGAGTGCGCATTAAATACCGTACAAAGCGATTTCCATGTGGTATTGTGTTTATTATATACATTCTGAAACATTCATCATTTTGCCAACCTTTTATTTCAAATATTTGCAAACTACGTTTTCCTAAAACTTGCCGCTGCACTTCGCGAAATGACAAGCATAACGAAGTGCATTAGTAAAAGTGTATGGTAAAAATTCTGATGAGAGTAAGGATGAGAGGTAATCCAGGAATTTCATGTAATGTTTTGTTCTGAATGTAGAATTAAAAATGAATGATTTTTAGTGAAATGGCCGGTTTGAATACAAACAGAAAACAAAATAGCTCCGATAAAAAGTATAAAATTAAATTCGTCTCGTTCTGTTTTTTCCCCCTCCTTTGTTGTTTTGCTGTTTTGTTTTTTTTCATCGAAATTGAAATATTAAGCAATTAATGAATGAGGCTGAGTAGGATATGAAGAATTAACCAGATCGAGGGGGGTGTTATCCACCGAGGCCGAAGGTGGATAGCACCCTCCGACATTTGCTTACTTTTTCATATCCTACAAGAACCGAAATCATTACTTGCTTTATTATTCATTCAAAATAATTCCTAGTTTAAAAACATAGCTAAAACATGCTTACCAGCATCGTTTTTAAGTTCATCTTCGACAGTGTACGTTTAAGCTTGTCCAGCTCCGCAAATATTCTCCAAACAGCAGATATCGCCAAGCGAGTTGTCTTCGTGCTGTTTTTGCTATGTTCATAGCTATTATTTCGCCTAGTTCCAGCTGTAGTAGTTCTTACTCTTGAAACGAGTGAAGTGTCCGTCATTTTTGTTTTCACAATCAAAACAACTACACCTCATTCCAGGATCTTCTTGATAACGGTGCCTTCACCTGTAGGTGGCTGCATTTTTGACGTAATTTCTGCGTTAACCACCAAATTCTTTCAAATTTGGTCATCAGTAACTGGTTATGGTGAATTATGGGTGTGCTTTTAGCCAATCAGAATTTGGGAAATATTTTGAATGAATAATAACCCAAATTATTCCACTCTAATTTCCAAGATTTTTGTTCACCTTATCAACGGGAATAAAACTATGCTTTATGTAATATGTCAAGAGCTAGGGGGAGGGTTTCATTAAGGGGTGGCAAACACCGAGAAACAGATGAAAGGCCGAGGCCGTAGACCGAGTGCTTTCATCTGTTTTTTTCATCTGTTTTCAACTCGTGATGAAGCGTGAAGAACAATGTTTTGACGCGTCTTCTCAAATGAAACAATAAAAATGCAAACGCAAGTGTTTGATCTCAGATGAAAAACCTGTTTCATCGCAGATAAAAACCTACTGGTGTTTTATCTGGTGTTAAGTTGAGTATCAAGATTCATTCACTTGACTTTTGACTGCGTGGATGATAAATGAGTTTGAGAAGGTTTATTCTCGTTGAATACAGCTCAATTGTTTACACCCCCAATTTCCCTTAGGGTATTGTAATACCCAGTAGAATTCGGAAACAAGGATTGTGCAAAATTATAGGGGGAAAGGAAGGTGCACTATGGCAATGTGAAAACGGTTCATTGGGCAGATCAGATCAGAACCATCGTGGAGATCAGTCGATCATACTTAAGGGCTTTCTCTTCCTAATCAATAGCGAGGTTAAGATCGGGTACCAATACCGATACCAGCACCAATATCTTTCACAGCCGTAGTCGTTTCCGTCGTACATAAATGAAGTTGTAAGTTGTTGAGGACGGATACCGGTAAAACATGGCGTTCGCAGAGATCTCGTTAGAAGAAGCTCTAGTCCTTGAAGCTTATGAAGAAGACATTTTAGATGAAGAAGAAACTCTGCTGGCGTTTGAATTGCTGGATAAATCAAAAGAACCATAATCGTGTACAAGACAAGATTTTTTAACACCATGTGTTTTGAACGTCAATTTTTGCAAGCACGTCTATTAACATATCACACATACAACGCGTATTTGTTTAAATCAAATCTAATCCATAATGTGATTTTTATCGAACTTACCGTGTGCTGTCCCTTTCAAATCTTGTTTCGCTTGACATTTACACTGTATGAACCGACGAATTTACCTTAAATATCGTGTTAAAATGGACTCGCTCTTATCGATTCAGAAGCGTTGTATCGATTAAAATGCTTAAAGAATAAATGTATGCTGTGTTTTTAAACAAAACGGCATTCCAGCTAACCTTTAGTAAGAAGACCTGACGTCGAGGGTGAAGACTTCCAATATGGAGGCGACTTCCGTAGTCTTGACTACCAATAGAGATGTCACAGGCTGACGAAGCATGCGCGTAACCTACTTCAGGTATTGGTATCGGTATTGGTACCCGACCGTAACCTCTCTAATATCATAACGACGTTATACAGGGACAACAGGGACGGTAATTAAATTTTACTTGAAGAACGTCCTGTGTGTACATCTTCAACTCTGACAGTCATCAAGCCACGACTTGACAACCAAGAGGTCCGTAAAACTACTCTCGCACAAGCGCAGTAGAATCGGCCTAATAAAACTATACTCTCATGACATCTCCCTCCTTTGAGTTCTTATCAGTAACGAATGGCACAGAAACTTACAATTATATTTTACTCAACTGGATAAATGCATTTTAAGGTGTTTCAATGTAGTTTTTCAGAGGCCATAGCGATATTGTTCAATCGCTTTAAAAGTGATTTTATCCATGACTAGTACATGTCAGTGTGAGTATTGTCAATTTTTTACATTCAAAAGATGTGATAAATTCAAACTAAAATGTACTAGTCATGGAGATATGTAGTGCGCATTATTTTGGAAAAATTACCATAACGTCAAAACAGTGAATGTTTTAACGCAGATTTTTGACCGGTTCGTAGGATAGGTTTGTCTTGAAATTTCAAGGTGTTGCAGTAAATCAATCTCAATAAAAGTCTCAGACATTTTTATATACATTATGAAGATTATGTAAAGAGATTTTTAAAAAATTCGTTTGAGTCGTTTCGGAGATATACAAGAAAGCGCTAAAAGTCCAAATTCTAGATAAAGTTGCACTTATACAGTTGGTGAGAAAACGGGTTATTTTTTTAGATCGCAAGAACGAAAGTACACCAAAATTTCCTAGCATCAAAATATGATATTAAGCAGCATTCTGACGCTACTTAAGAATAATTTGAGTCATCAATAACGTTTTCATTAAATAATCTATCACGTCTATTGAAAATTGAAGGTTTGAAATATATTTTCGTTTTAGTCGAATTCAAACATACAGAATTTTTTACTTCTTAGGGAGATTGTTTGTAAACACCGAACTTTAAGTTCCTAGTGTTGGATTTTCACTAGCAGGTCTTGATCACACAAAATTCGGCTTTTATCAGTTTCAAAGTTTTTTGTTTATTGTTGACATAGTGGTATCGATTTATCGATTTTCACAAATTTCAATCCATAACCAATTACTGGTGAAAATTTTATAGCGATCGGACAAGGAAAAAAACACTTTTAAGGCGATTGAAAAATATCGGTATGGCCTCTGAAAAACTATATCGAAACACCTTAAGTTTGAATCAGTCGGTGTCCTTATTACTGTTTACATTCCAAGAGCACAAATCAGACACATTCTCTAGAACGAGCAGGTTTTCTCACAACAAGGCAGTTAAAGGTGTTAACTTCTGGCTAAAGAGAACTAGGCTGTGTGTTTGTAGAAGAGGATACAGCTGACGTCACTCTTTAAGACCCCAAAATCTGCGGCGTTGTTCTGATTAGGTAAGTGAAGACACTGTGCCTGGATCTTTTGCTCGTGATGTGGCTCAACTCTCTCAGGACTAACGTCATCTTGGATGGCTTCCACGCCGTCCTGATTCTTTAGGAGGTTTGTCATTTTTTTCCGAAATGTTTCTGGAACAGATGTAATCCCAAACGGCAATCAGCGAAAACGGAAACGGTCACTGGGAGTGATGAAAGTTGTCAACCTTGAGCTGTTCGAGTACAAAGGTTTCTGCCATTAACTACTTGACGCGTCTAATTTGGAGAATACTTTGGCTCTTGCTAACTTTGAAGCGACATCT